AATTAGTTTTAACCTATATATGTTGCAACTAATTTTAGCTTATGTTTCAACATTTTGTAAATTTGAAATCAATTGCTGTACCATCTTTAGTAAAGGACCTTTTTTTCTTCAGATAAGATAAATGGTTTTTTAGGGTTCTTTCAGGATGTATGATTTAGTTTTTATTTATTTTTCTTATTTTTTTATAATATTGAGTTGTACTGAACCTTTCTTTTTTTAGATAAGATAAGTATAGAAGTAAATTTTTTTTGCTATTTGCTAAAATATGCTACAAATCATGATTCTTTTGATAGTAGGTTTTCAGATTTTTATAGAAGTGGATTTTTTGCAATTGGTAGTGTTATTTTTTTGGATTTTTACTAATTTTTTCTTTTTTTAATAAAAGACAAATTGGTATAGTTGTTTTTTGGATTTTTACTAATTGAAAGTAGATTTTTTACTATTAGTTAAGATAAGTTTACAACATTATTAGTGAAAATTTATTCTTAAAGACTAATAATATCTAAATTAAGAGAAAAACAATGCTTTAAAATTGTATATTTAGCAATATTTGTGAAATCTCAAATATTATGAAAGTAAAAGAAATTAAAAAAAAGAAATATAAAATTAGTTATATTAGTATTAATTCTATATATTGAGATCTATAGAAATAGTATTTATAAAAAATTAATATTTAGGAAGATTATTAATATAATATTCAAGATCATTATTAAAGATTATACTAAAAAAAAAAGATTTTATTTGCTTTTCTTAGAAAGCTTATTATTTTAAATAAAGATTCTTTGAAATATAATATATGATTAACAGTTATGATAAATAACTTAATACAGGTTTGATTTATTTTATTAATATCTTTTAAACCTTTAATGGTTTTTGTTATTATATGATAGTTAAAGAAGAAAAATCAAATATTGATTTAATATTTACTTTGAAGTATTAGCTTTAATAGGAATAATAACTTTAATATTTAAAGAATTGTCTATAAATTCAACTTAAAAATTAAAGTATTTATTAAAAAAGTTATAATTTTCTTTAAATTTTTAAATCAAGATTTATGCAAATTTTAAAGTTATTATCATTATTAGTATATATAGAACCCTCTTCTTTTATACTTTTATTTAAATTACTATTAGGAGTTAAAAGATAGTCTAATTAAAAAGACTTTTTTTTTCTAAGTTTATAAAATATTATGATCCAAAAAATTTAGAATTTTGTCTATTCAAGAATTGTTTTGATTAATTTTTATGAGATGTTTTCTTTTGTTAATTACTGTTGATTCTAGTTGGTAATTGCCTAACTTTTGATGAAATTAATAAAAGAGATATTAGAATTAAATATGTTTTTAAATTTTCTTATAAAAGCTTTATAATTGAAGTATTATACAAGTTAAAATCTTTGATAAAGTTATTGCTTATTATGATCTGTTAATTTTTTCTTCATTTTAAATAATTGTTGACTTTATAATAAAGGGAAGAGCAAATTGCATATAATTTTGCATTCGATTTAATCAATCACATGTTTTTTATCAATAGTAAGATTTTTATTGTTAATTTTAGTTTCATAATTATCTGCTGAAGTAAAATAAAAGAAACATGTTGAAGTTTTTATTATAACAAAGTTTTAAGAAATTTTTCAAGAAGAAAGAAACCATGAAAAGTAGGTTTTTATCTACTAAAAGCTTGTACAGACAATGTATTTTATCAAGAAAGTTTTCTGACACATCAAAATTTTGTCAATATTGATAGAAATGTCAGTATTTTCTGAAGTATCTTTTGATATACCTTTTTCCTTACTATTTGGCAAAGTTTGTAGGTAAACTTCTATCATATTTTTGGAATGTATAAGAGGTGCTTTAGGCGAGTAAAACATCAAGTGTTTTGTTAATGTTTCATTTTTTGTTGGTTTAAAATGGTAAAGCAAAACATCCTCTTTGTTTTGATTTTTGCTTTCTTTTTTGTGACATATTGTAAAAGAGAATTTATCTTTTTATTATTAATCAATTATTTGAATAAATAATATAAAAATAAATTAACTGGATTTTACTATTAAATTTAAATACTCATGTAACCACCACCTCTGTGAACTAAAATATTTAATTCTTTTTAAAATACAAGATTCAAAATATACATTTATTTAAATAAATTATGATATTTATACAACTTTAATGTGTAAATCTTTATCAAGGATTTCAAAAAATTTATCAGTATTCGTTGCTTCATCGGCATATCCTATACAAGAAACAAAATTTAGTATAGATTTCATCATCAAATGAAAAAAAAAAGATAAAAATTCATCATGTATTTTACCCCATTTTGATAATAATTCTACTAAACCCTTTAAATGAATCCACCACGCTTTTCTACTTTTACGATTTTCGATGTCAGATTCTGGCAACAAGTCAATAACCGGCTAAATAAAAATAAGTTAAAGCAAGCATTCCGGAAGAAAATTATTTTTTTAAAAAAAAATGCACTTTGCATAAAATTATTTGAAAGTTATCTACCGTATATTTAACCTGTGCACCATCAATTCCAATAACAGCAACAGATTCTTTTACATTTGTATATATACTCGGATAAACTATTTTTTCTGATGTGAAAGGTGATGCATATTCTTCCAAAAATTTTATACATTTCACAGCGAGTTTAGTTGCACGTATACGATCGGTTGGAGAAGGCGTACCTCCTTGTTGAATATGACCTAAAATACTAGTTCTTGAATCAAAATGTCCACAACTCTCCGATTTAATGATACTAGCGATAACATCCGTTGTGTATGTTTTTGATACACATTCATTTCTAAGAATTAATCTTCCTGAACTACTTCCGTTCTTATCTTCTCCAAATCTACGAATTAAATGATTAACATCCGCCTGAAGCGTCTTAAGGGAAATACCATCTTCAGGGATATACGCACTTGTCGCACCAACCTATAATTATAAGAGTACTTATATAAAAAAGAAACTCATGTGAACCTTAAGGGAAACAGTTTTTTTTTTTTCCTTTTTAACATACCGCAAGTCCCGACATTACAGCCAAATAACCACATTTACCACCATGAACTTCAACAACAAATACACGTCTTCTCGATGCGGACGCGGATTGTTTAATTGCATCACAACTATCTACAATTGCATTCAAACTAGTGTCGCTTCCCAGGGAGAAATCAGTCCCTGGCACATTATTTGAAATTGTAGCAGGTAAACATATCATTGGTATGCAAAATGCTGGATACTGGTTTCTAGCTTCATTTAGCTTGAGTAATGAAGTATATGCTTCAAATCCCCCAATTAAAAGTAAACCATGTATTTTATGCTTTTGGAATTGATATGCAACCATTCCAATATCGATATTAGGTTCAGTTCTATTTGTACCTAATTCAGATCCTCCTTTGGAGGCCCAACCATCCACATCAAACCATGAAAGTTCACGCAAATTATCTTGCAAGAGACCAGTGAAACCATTATAAATGGCAATTGGTGTGTGACCACGATTTAGTGCGTAACGAACAGCTGCTCGCGTAGCTGGATTCATACCACCAGCCGGTGCACCGATATGAAGAATTCCTATACGAATACGCTAAAATTTATCAAAAAAAAATTTTAATATCCTAATCATACGCTTGTTTTATTATTATTTTGGATTGGTTTATTATACGAACTTGATGTTCCGGAAGAGCTAAAGATTGATTATCCACAATTGTCGTGGTAACATAAGCATCATAATCTTCGCTAAATTCAGGATCACGCAAGTCCATTGCGAGTCTAAAGTCTTTTTGTGCAATGGCCTCAGCAACTTTATGCGTCTAACATATATTAATATCACATTAATGAGATGGCCATATTTATCATTATCTAACAAGACAACCTACCTTCTCAACAGCTAACATCAACGGTTCACAAGTAATTTTATTTTGTCGAATCCCTATCATAGGAGATGGCGTATCTGGTTTTGCTCGCAAAACAGCCTCTACAGCTTCAACACCTTGAATTGTTGCCTATATTTAATAGAAAAATTCTAAATATAACTCGACAAAATTAAAAATAATCATAATGAGAAACTTACAAGATTTCTATCAAAAGTACACGGTCTACCTCCACGCTGTGTATGACCCAAAGTAGTAACCCTTGTATCAAGTCCCATACGATTAGTCAAAAGTTCCTTAATATAATCAGCCTTGATTGGTTTGAGAGTTTTATCAATAGCACCTTCAGCTACAATAACGATAGTTTTACGTTTACCAAGTCGACGATGCTGTAAATTTTATGTTTGAAATAATAAAGTTAGTACATCAATTGTATTAAAGATAATATTACAGAAAAAAGGAATGATGATTACTCTGTATAGAACTTCGCACATTTCACTCTCCCAATCATCATGTGTCGGAGGTCGCTCAGGTATAAAGACAAAATCTGCACCAGAACTTTTAATAACTTTATGATTAATAAAAACATAAGAAACTTATATGAACACAAGGTTGAATGATTTACCTAACCGCTGCCATCAATGCAAGCCATCCGCAATGTCTTCCCATAACTTCGATTACAAAAGCACGAGAATGACTTAAAGCTGTGGATGATATACTATCAACAGCTTCGCAAATTCTGTGCAACGAAGTAACAGCACCAATAGTAATATCAGTCGATGACATATCATTGTCAATGGATCCTACAAGACCAACTATTATAAGGTGTGCATATGGTTCAGCCTCTTCCGCAGTAATCCTTCCTACAAATCATTCATAATATATAGAACTTTTTAATATGTTATTTGGAATATTAACATATTAAGAGTTATTTATACCTTCTTCTATTAATTCACTTAACAGACCGGGCCACTCTTTTCTCAAAGTATCTGCTCCAGTTAATGAGCCGTCTCCTCCACAGACAATCAGAGAGTTAATCTCATTTTTAATCAAATTATATACTGCACTTAATCGACCTTCACGTTCACGGAAAGTATCACAACGTGCCGTACCAATGAGCGTACCACCCTAAAAGATCCATGTAAAATTTAGTATTTAACACTTGCAGATATTTTTAAAAATATTGGGACTTACAATAGCAAGATAACCTCTAACGTCACCCCAACCAAATTTTTTAATCATATCACCACCATTCACCAGACCTACATTTACAAATAATGATCGATTAAGTTTGACGCGCATTATTTAAAACCCTGTAGCATGAATTTTTAATCCATATGAAATTACCTTTATAACCTTCAAAAATAGCATAAGCTTCACAACCACGTGAAATTGCTACTCTTACTATTGATCTCACCGCAGCGTTCATACCAGGGGAATCTCCTCCACTAGTCAATACACCAATCCTCATTTTTTTCCCTTGTGGAAGGGATTTTAAATCACTTGCAATAACTTCTTTTTTTACAGGTGATTTTGGTTTAATTGGATAAACTGATTTACTGAACGGATTTGGTTTATTGGTGAAAATGATCAAGTTGTTAAGTGGATCATGAGTGTAAATTTCAGTATGGACCAAATCCGTTGGTGTTGTTGCTAATAGATCGGTTTCATCGGTATCAGTATAGACATATTTCTGATACTTTGCATTAATGGATTTTAAAATTGATTCAACAGCCTTAACGAGATATCAAAATGAAAGTAAATAATTAATAATTTGATAATCATTATTATTTGCATTTGCTTATTTACTTTCTCATACCACTATATTTTTTGTTACAGAAGCTACGAGAGCTTGTTCTAGCCTCCAATCCTTTTCTTCGGGAGTAGGATCTTTTTTAATCGCGTTTGCTACTAACACAAGTTTTATTGTGATATCTTTGGCTGGTAAGTTACCAAATAAATGTAACCATTTCTCTTGCGTTAAATATTGACTCGATTCACTTGTAATTTTTGAATTCACAATGGTTTCAAAACCAAACTGACTGTAAAACTGTATACTGCTCTCATACTCTTCTATTGAAGAGGTAGCTAATACTATATGTGATAAACCTTCAATAACAGACATTTTTTGGTGAATTTCAAAACGATAAGTTTTAATTTATTAGATAATCATCGTGGCACAAAATTTTTGTTTTTGATCGAACCATAAAATTTTAACCTATAAAAACAGCGAAAATAGAATATCCCTAATGCAAGAAACATCAGGTTTTTTTTTAATACAATTATTTTTATCAAACTTCGTTTTTCATTCATTATTCTTTTCAAAATCATAATAAAACATAATAGCATCAACGAATTCTTCTCCATTACCATCAACTTTTTTTAAACGACCAGCCTTGGGTATTCTACCAATTTCTTTAAAATTAAATTCTCTCCATAATTTTATCGAGGCTATGTTATTTTCAAATACTAGATTAAATATAGAAGATTTGTAACCTAATAAAGGAGCAATTTGTAGAAAAGATTGTACCATTAATTTTCCTACTTGTTTACCACGATGTCGTTTTGGAACCACAAAACCTGCATTACAAATCTTTTTTGGGGGAGGGGGGAAGGAAAAAGGGTTAACGATAATGGTAAATAGGTAAATGCTTTTTTTTTTTAAAAAAAAAAAAGATAGTTTTATATACGTACATGAATGCATCGTCCGGGATAATTTGGTTTGATATAAAACATTCCAAGCAATATATCGTCCCACACAATGCTTTCCTCAACCCTGATCTTATCCAATACTTTATCGTCATCATTTAACGCAATAAATGTATCATAACTTAAAAAATAATTAATGAATTCATCAAGAGATAAAGGAAATTCCTGTGGATAAGTATTTCCTTCTTTAATTATTTCATTAAATACATCATGCATGTGAGAAACAAGCGTTGTGAAGTCATTTAAGGAATGAATGTCTAGAGGTATTATGGTTACCAGTTTATGTATTGTTGGAAGTGTTGTTGTAATTGGAAGGAGAGAAGAGAGAGAAGAAGAAGTAGTTGAGGTAGACTTTGGAATCTTTCCGTACGCCGAAGACATTAGTAAAAAGATTATCAAAATTTATGTAACACAAACACGGTTGAAAGTTCAATAAATATATATATGAGAAAATTCTTTCATTTTCCGTTTTGCAGATTTTTTTCTCCTTCCACTAACGATGACCAACACTAAATCCACACGATCTTCCACTTCTAATGCCACTACTATTAATAAACCCGACAAATCTTCTAAATTATTAGATTTACTTCGAAGGGTCAGCACCCATAAATCCACTTCAAAAAAATCCTCTATCAGCTCTAAAAGTAATAAAGATAAAATGAAAATGCCTTTAACGAAAAAGGGTATTAAAAAATTTAAAGATAAACTAAAGTATACTCAAAAAATTAAACGACTCGAAATGAAAAAACAATTAATAAAAGAATTGAAAAAAGAACAAACAGGTTTATAGTTACATTTAATTTTTTTAATTCAATTGATATATTTATTAATGGTTTTAAATTTTTTTCTTTAATAGATAAGAAAAAATTGAATTACGAAAGAAACTTGCGATATTTTACATTCTCGGCAGAAAAAAATAAAAAGATTTAGATTATTAATTTTATTATTCACAACCCACTTTATTTAACTGCAAAAATTGATAAATGAAAATGTTTTTATTAATGTATTGATTTGAAATGAAAGATGTTAAAAGATTTGAATATTATTATGATATATTATTATAATTGATATAAAACAGACCCATCGAAGAATAATTTAAAAAGCTTATAAAAAAACGAAGTGGGAAATAATTTTTTTTTTTAAAAAAAAAAATTTTTGCCCTTTAATTATTTCTTTCCTCGGCTTTCTTAATGGAATCATATAACACATCAAGAGTATGATTTTGATCTCTACCGCCTTTAAATCTACCAGTTAAGAGATCTTCAACGGACACATCATCACCATAGAACTCTTTGTTGGCATCCTTTCGTTCGATAATTATTGTACCTTCAACTGATACGCCAGCAAAGAGACCCTTTGATTTACTGTATGAGTAGAGAGGCGCACGTTCATATAAGGAACCGGAATATTCTTGACCAAATCCAACGGGACCTGCTGAAACCGACAAGTTTCCTCCCAAGGTAAGATTTTCTCCACGACAGAAAGCTTTTACAGCTTCTTCGGAATTAAGAACGATCAAAAAATTGGTTACATCGGCACCAAGTTGTGCACCAAATCCCAAACCACCGATGTTTATCAATGATGGACAAGACCACTTTCCATCGGAAAGTCTACATAATTTAAAATAGAAGATTAGAACTCATTGCATTGTCACAAGTTTAAAAATGAAATTTAACACGAACAGTTTCAATAACTTACTTTGCGACAACTAAGCCGGAACCGACACGACCGGACCAAACGAAGCCAGCCTTGATAACAGTAAAGATTGCTAGACCTTTGGCATCAGCAATAACATCCTTGGGAATAACACTATCCAAACCACCTTCAGCTTTTTCAGGATCCGTAAAGCTATTTAAAATTTTAACAGCCTTTTGAACTTCAGAAGCAGCATCCGAAGGTAAAAAGGAATTCACATTATTATTCGCCGCAGTTTTTTGAATGTCCGAAGAAACGTCGGTTGCAATACTTCTCGCTCTTTCAACACCGTAATCAACTTTAGATGTCATGGCAGGAAAATTTTCTTTGAAATATCCAGTCACTTTTGATGTCATATTGGAAGCGGTATTAGTTTCAGTAGTTGAAGCCATTGAAAATATTATTTGTGGAAGGTTTTTTTTTTTTTGAAAATATAAGGGAAAATCCAGGTCCTATTTATATAATTAAAAGAATGGTAAACAAAAGGGATAATCCGTCATAAAAAAGTCGCGTGAAATTAAAGTTACATGTTTTATTTCAGATTTACATGAATTTGATGGCCGAATTTGTCTTGTTCATGTTGAATATCCTATGAATTTCTTGGAAAATCATGAGTACATTTATGGTATAAGGTTTGTGTAAATTTCATGTGAATAACACAAAAAAGAATTTTAAAGAACTTTCATGTATTAATTGTTTAAATGATTTATTTATATAATAACGCCATTAAAATTGCAATTGTTAATTTAGTTGGCTGAAAGATTAGACTTTTTTTAAAAAAAAAAAATTTTTACACAAGATTAAAGGGATTTTGACATTACAAAACCATTTGGAGACCTAATTTAATTTTCAACATAGAAGCATGAGCTTTCAATTTTTTTTAAAATAAAAGGTATTGTATTTATTAACTAATGTGGCTGAACGCCTTGAAAGATTAACCTTATCTGGAATTAAATGTAATCATATTTTTTGTAAATGATCTACATTGAAACAAACACAAAGGGTTTTCAGGGAAAATTACGTGATCATGATTTTTACAATATTTAAATCATATGCTAATTCCTTGCCATTCGGTAAAATACACATAGACTTTCACGTTTTGATTTCAAGATCTATGTTTTATATACTACCTAATTTAGGATTATATTTTCCTTGAAACACGCTTTTTTCTTTTTGTATTTGAATGTTTCCATTCTCTAACTTTCTTTCCATTATCGATTAATAATGACTTATTCTGTTGACGTGCTTTTTCTAATGCTTCAACCGTATGTAGGATTTCTTTTCTCAAATTGAGAATCCCTGCCTGTTTCCTTGCCGATACCATTAATGGATGTTCATTTGCATTTTTATATTGGTTCAATTTATTTTTAACCACTACATAACGTCTTGCTAAATCTGGTGGTATCACCATATCACATTTTGTTAACACAATTTGAAACTTAACGTCTTTCCTAAATAAAAAAAAAATATTATTAGATTGAAAAAAAGTCAAAACTATTTAATAATTATATCTTAACTTATCAAGCATCTCGAGAAATTCAACGTCGGCCAATTTAATTCCTAAAAAGTAAAATGATTTTTTTTTTTGAAAACATTGACAAATTATAATAATTGCATAATAAAATGTTATTAAAAATACCATGTCGAGCGTCGATAATTACGTAAATTTTTTTAAGGGTTGTCCTGGTTGATATGTAAGTTTCTATCTACTTATCAAAATAATGATAAATTAATTACAAAAAAAAAATCATTAATGAATGACCTACTTACCAATTTTCCCCATTGAATTAATTCTTCTTCTTTCACGTAAGCAAATCCATATCCAGGCATATCTATCATATTAAATATTCTACTCGCAGCATAGAAATTGATTTGCCGTGTTAGACCTGGTTTATTTGAGGTTCTTACGATCGTTGTATCTGCCAAAGCATTTATCAAAGACGACTTTCCCACATTGGATCGTCCTTAAATGTTTATTAAAATATTATTATCCATGCGTCAAAGTTTACGATGAAAATTTACAAAGTATTTTATTTACCAACGAATGCTACTTCGGGAACTCGTTCTGGAGGAAACGAAGAAGGAATTTTCGCCCCAGCAAAGAATGACAAATGAGGTAACTTTATAATTATACAAAGTGAGGAACCATTTAAAACCCAATTTATTTTATTAATATTATGAATAATTTAGTTTAACAGTAACCTCTAATTCCTCTTGTGGAACTTCTAGTTTGCCCAATTTTTTTTCCAATTTTTTTCGTCCGACAATAGCAACCTTAGTAGCGAACCGACTTGTTTTTATTCTACGTGGTTTCCCCAAGCCTAACGCTTCTATTTCTTTAAGTATTGAGGGAGGAGGATTTATTTGTCGAAATTTTTGTCTGTTCGATATTTCCTTACGATTTAATTTTACAGGTGGTATAGATATTGAAGAGAAATTTCTCTTTGTTAAATTATTAAAATGATTTAAATTATTTAAAAAAGTTTTTCCTATTAACTTGCGAAACATTTTGGTAGGTATAAAAGAAGAATGTGTCAGAGTTAAAATTCTGATTTAAATGATTTTCAAATCTAATCGGCTAAGCCACCGATTTTTTTTTAAAAAAAAAAATATAAATATCAGAAATTTTCGTATAATTGAATTTACTGTCACCTAATTATACAAAGTAAGTCAGAAAAAATTTCTCAAAAGGAATGAATTCTAAATAAATAATCTTTTACTCCCTCAATATATATATAATTTTTCTTATTAAGTGGCAAAAAAGGGTAAAGCAAGGTAAAATATTACATTTATATTCATAATGCTTTGGAAACGAACATTATTAATTTTTTTATTCGATCATTAAAGGACAACAATAGTACGCCTCGTTTCCACAGCTGGTACGGGATTTTTTTTTACACGAGTTAGACCGCGTCAACTACCCAAATTATCATTTGTTAAATATGATCCAAAAGGTAAGGTAACAATTATGTCTTTTGTTTAATTCCTTTTTTAATCAAAAACTTATTTATTTTTTTTTTGATATGGAGTTCGCCAACGAGTTTTATTTACTGAGCAAAAGAATAGATAAAATAAATTGAAATATATCTAATTGTTGGCTTTGCACTTGGAATGTAATTAATAATTAAAATTGACGAGAGTTTTCTAAAATAAAAATCTTTCATTTCCTAATTATCTTGATAATTCTTGAAAAAAATTTATTTAAAAGTAAAGGAATTTTTATTAAACTTATTAAATAATAAATCTTAAGCGTCATTTTCCGTTTTTACTTGATCCTCTCTCTTTTTATTTTTAGCCAAAAGTCGCATTCTTCTCATATAACTAGAAAAATTAAAAATATAAATTAGATCGCTTTTTAAATCCAATTAGAAAAGTTGGCGCATTTTAAACCTGGTGATAAAACTTACTCGTTGTATTGACATTTTTCCCATGCATGTTTTTCATCTTCACATTTCCATGGTAAATACCAAGCTTCAATACGACATTTATTTAATGGTATCAATAAATGTGCACAATAATCTCTATATCCTAATGGAAGCCTTGCTTCGGCCATTTCTTTCTGCGTAGCTATCATTTCTAAATAACATTGTTAGACAAAAAGAATTTCTTTGGTTAAAAATAAAAAAAAAGCTAGTAAACTATATTAAAAAAAAAAAACCTGGGGGTCCGTCTGAGGACATCTTTGCTTTTGTTTAAAAATGTATATTTCGAGAAGTCTCGGGAGTTAATATTAAATATTTTTGGATCTCATGTGATTCGTCTTTAACATTAGTAGCGTTAATTTCTATTGGTCGAGCATTAAAACAAAATTATCAGTTGAATCTCGTGAGTTTTTCTCAATGTTAAGCACCACTACAATGTAAATTAATTTCTTCCACCAACGGAGATGAATGATGGAATTTCCTCACTTTTTGAGTCGTTCTCAAAAACATCGTTTTATAAATTTACCGGGCAAAAATCCGGAACACGGAAATTTTATTGGATATTTTCTAATATCCGATAAAATTTTCGGTCGTACCAGATTTTTATATCTTATTAATTATATAGCATGAACATATTTTGATTAATTGAATGATAGATACTCGTCTTAATATTTAGATCTTTCGAAATAATTATGCCAAAATATTACTGTGGTAAGTCTATGGAAAAGATTTCTTCTTCGTAAAGCAAGTTATTAATTGGCTGATCTAACATATAACAACTTAGATTACTGTGATGTATACTTAACACATGGTAATGACATTTCTCTTCGTACAACTTTATATGACCAAAAAACAAATACTAATAGTTTCTGTAATTAGATTCCTCTTCGGTGAGAAAGGCCCACAATAATGGTAAAAACCACATCATGAACGTTAGGAACTATTATGCTGGTGAGTATCTTAAATGTTTTATTAAAAAAGGGTTCAAATTTTTTCTAATAAAAGGTTCTATTAATTTATTGCTAACAGAGTTAGGGCAAGATAAAGCGCAAGCAATTATCGATGAAATCACAAAGGCGTATGAACGAGCTGGACAATCAGGTAAGATTTATTTTTTCTATACATCCAGGATAATTCGTATTGAATTATATATAATAATCTCATTTATTTTTAGGTTTTCCACCTCAATATGGATATATTCCTGGTATTCCACCGCCTACGGCTCAATCAGTTCCGGGTGCTGCACCCCCTCAATATGGTGGTAAGTTACAGAATCTCTCTCTCTCTTTTTTTTTTTTATCCAATATCAACATTTTCGTTATTTTTCCTTTTTAGGAGCTCCAATGCCACCGATGATGTTAGGTCGGCCTCCTGCAGGAGCTGGCGCACCTGGCACTGTTCCCGCACCAGGACTTTCAATACCACCACCGGGATTAGGATCAGCACCACCAGGAATGGTAGCACCTGGAGTTGTAGGTCCTCCTCAGAGTATGCCAATGATTAAGACTGAACCAAGTTATCTTCCAATGAAAATTGTATCTCCGGGTATTCGACCATCAATAGTTTCTCCTACTAATGCTACATCATTGGGTCCTGGATCTCAAGGCAATATTCCTCCAGGCGGTGTTCCTGGTTCTGTGCCACCTCCTGGAAGTATTAATTATCAACAATATCCGATAGGGCATCCCTCACAACATTATCCACCTGTTGGTGGCGGTCTTAATGTTTCTGGCCCTTTAGCGCTCCAATCTTCAAGAGGTGTTAAAAGACAAATGGAAGAATAAAACAAAATATTTATACTCTGTTGCCCTAATCAGAATTTATGTGGCAAGTGTACTAATTAATTCTTGATTCTAATGAAGGAAAAAAAGATTATATGCTTACAGTATTAAAAAATTTACAAGGAGTAAATAAAAGCACACTCGTTTACGATTCATAAAGTATTGGATAAAAGGTTGGATGAAAAAAAAATTACTTAATCACCGAATTTAATTTTTTTAAGTAAATTATGTATATAATTTTCTTTTTTAACGACTATGTCATCTTATTGTTATTTTTATTTTTTATTTTTATTTTTTTTTTAAAAAACAAAATAAGGGTTTTAAAAATTTGATGACAATTGATCATGGGTTGGTTATAATGCCTAAATGTAAAATTTTCAAAAGGTTAAGTGATTTTATAGGAAAGTATAATTTCTTATTATTATTGATACAATTGACGAATTATCTTTTAATCAAAGGTATTTTATCACGTTCTCTTATTACTATAATTTTGAATAGAATTCGGGCGATTTTCGTTCACGTACTTTTAAATTCGTATTTATATAATAAAATAGACAAGATTAAATAATCCGCATTTGCATTTATTAAAAGAATAAATACATCGAACCTATGGAAATTAACGAGTCGGGGAATTGGCATTATCATAAAAAATTTTGATAAGAAATTTCTGCAAATAAATTCGGGCACGTGAATTCATGTTCTTAATGGGCACGTGATTTAAATCAATTTTCACTTGGTAATTCCTATTTGTGCAATGATCAGTTTCCTAAAGATATAATTATACTAACAAAAAAAAACACGATTTTAATAACCACATATTCGTGAGAGATTTGGTTATTTGCCATTTATTTCGATAGTTTGGCGCGGTACAAAGTTATTATAGAGTTTTGTTTGGTAGTATGATTTTTATTTTAAATTACGATAAGGAATTTAGAAAAAGTTTTGATTTTAGAGGATTGATAAATTTGACCTAACTCTGCTCCGTTTTGCTTTTGATAAGGTTCAAGTTGGTTAGGTCCCTGGGTAGTGATTAATTTCCATGGAATTTCCTATCCCTATTATATTCTTGAAATAAAATAAAAATGGAAGATGCGAGTTCAACCCCTTCTCTCAATGATCGATCGATCATGTGATTCCTCTTAATTTCACATTGTATCCTCTAAAAATAAATTTTTTTTCCAGATCCGCAAAATTGAAGTATTGGAATCAGTCTCCAAGATAGTTAATCAAAAGAGTTGGTCTACACGAGGTAAAAAGCATATAAACAGATATTAGAGGTAATAATATTTTAATATCTTACTTCTCGAAGATAGACTTTTATAGTAATGATACAAAAATAAATTTGTCACGTGAAATTCGTGCATGTTCATACCCCAAAATTTCTTTACCCCAAATTTTATCACGGAATTATAAAGATTCTACTTTTTTTACTTTTTTTTTTGTTCAATCTCTTCTGTAACTTCCCAACAAATAATACGTACACGCAAATAATAAAAATATCAGAGTCGTTTTTGATAGTAGTATACTTATATTTACTCTTACCCCCTCCTCACTTCTTTATTTAGTCGGTTAGGCAGGTCGTCCGCTCTTCGATTTTCGGTTTAGGTATACAGGATTTTTAGGTTTGCTTTTGTAAGTTCCGCTTCTTTTTGTAAGTTTGCTTTTTTGTAAGTTCCTTTATTTTTGTAATTTTGCTTTTATATGACATTTTTTAATCAAAAATTTTTTTACTTTACTCTTACCTCTCCTCACTTCTTTATTTAGTCGTTTAGGCAGGTCGTCCGCTCTTCGATTTTCGGTTTAGGTTTACAGGATTTTTAGGTTCGCTTTTTATTGTTTCGTTATTTTTTTTGTTGGCTAACTTTTTTCGGTTTTTTGTAGAGTTGTTTTTGTAGGTGTTTTTGTTTTGTAGGGTTTTTTTGCTTTTATTGCTTTTTGTAGGGTTTAGGTTTTGCTTTGGGTTCCGTTAATTTTCTCATTCGGTAAGGATCTTTTTGTCTTCCCTTTTATTTAGTTTGCGTGTACATATATTTGTCTAGGAAGAAGGTCAGGTAAACTGAAAAAAAATACTTGTTTTCGTGTTTTGTTTTGATATATGTAAATTTATATGTATTCATATTAGTAAAACGTTATGTATTATAATAAAGATCAAAACCATCATTTTATTTGAAATATGAAATAAAATAAATTTTTTTTGTCAAAGTTTTTGAAACGTGTTTTTTACCAAGTTTTTTTTTATACAATCAAGTAATCTTCCATAAACATACAATCTCTCAAAATAATTTTTTCTCTCGAGCTCTTAATCTCGTAACGTCTGTTTATAATTCGTCGACATGTCGGTCAAGAAAGATAATTATTACATAATATCACCTCCTGCGGACCAGAATCAACAAATCAAATTTGATTTACCAATATAAAAACCACTAATAAAGGGGTCTACTTAGACATAAATTTTATTTATATAATGACCATAATAAATTTGTTGTCTGAAAATCATGCTGGTATTGAAGAGATCATTAATACTGCCACTCTAACTATCAATGGATTGGAAGATGTTAATGTCGAGGCTTTTAGTAACGCGCTTAATGTTAATTTTGATTATGTTTGCTGGATTAGGACGCCCAAAGAAGAATATTGGCTAATAATTCTTGATGACAGCCATTTAAAATTTATTTTCTCAACATATTACGTAAACTGCGAACGTATTTTTGTTGTATTTCGTTCTAAAGGACAACCTTCACCAAATACAAACTTTTCTGATACAACCTTTTTAAATGAAAATGTCAATGTTACATCAAATCAGAAGTTATCACTATCGACAGCTTCAGTAGATAACGAGATAGAGCCTTTCACTCAAACCCCACTGAAAGAATTGGACACGTCGGAAATTATGATCATTGAAAATATAGCAGTCAGCTGGTCTTCTTTTTCGGATTTTATCACATCAAAGCTCGGTGAGGGTGTAAGCTTGTTCAACATTACTTTGTCAGCAGAAATAAGGAATGGAGAAATTGTAATGATTCAGCTCACTCGCCCAACCTGGACCCGTTATATTTTGCGTAAACATGAAGGTGTGTCATAAAGTTTATTATAAAATTAATATCATGCGAAAAAACTGATTTCTATCACAATGTTTTCAAAAGGTGCAGATACTTTGCTTGAACTGTTTGTTTCCACATGTGAAAACAAAATGAACTACGAAATCGAGCTGAAGAAATTGAATAAAGAGAACAGTTCTTTATTTTACAAAATCCAAATCTTTGTGAATGATCTTTTAACTTTTGGCAGTTCTGAAAATGCTAGATCTCGCCTAAAGGAGGACCCTACTGCTAAACTCTTTCTCTCGAGTGTGTATTTTAATGAAGAAGAAATCGAATATCTTCTTAATTTTCCAACTACTTCGGGGCTTCCTCTTTCTAGGTTTTTTGATGTGGCACTGGCAGATAAAATTGTTTCTCACAAATTATGTTCATCACATGATTTAGCACCTCTTATACAACAAGTATTTAATGTACGAAAGGATTTTCAAAAAGACAAAGGGTTCAAAAATACCTTAAAATTTTTTGAAAAGAACTGGAAAAAAAGGCGTGATTCACGATATGAGATGAAAAGCAACATTATGAAATAAATATATTTGTTAAATATCATAGATGTGATCATAGTCAAAAATGGTTTTGCTTATCTAGGATTTAAGCATAAATTTGCTTTGTAATCTTTTTTTCTTTAAATAAAAAATAAGAAAGAAACAGCTGATTTAATCAGATAAAGTTTGTATATTAATATTTCTCGATCTCCCAGAGGTGTAATGCTCTATTTCCAACAAGGTGTGTATAGGACTGATAGAAGAGGCATCATTCACAACATGTCGCAGCATAAAGAAGTATTGCCGAAATTAAGAAACGGATAAGACATTACGTGTGCATTTACAATAAAACAACTTCTGGGCCTGTAAATTAATAACTATTTTTCAGAATTTTTGAGGACCTTATTAGTATCACGAAGGAAACATAAATCTTTTCGGTGGAACTTTACCGACTTACTAAGATAATGCTGTTAATTTATTTCTGATGCTGCATGTTTCACATGAGCATAACTAATGATACATTTTATCCATAATATCGAAGATTGGAACAAATGAAACTGGATCATGGGAGTCAATGTTGGGATAATGTGTTAATGTAGACAGTTTAAAGAAACGAAAATATGATTTGGTCCTTAGGCATTAGTATACAGTAGAAACATCTTAAAACGAAACTACAGTATGCATCCGGCTACGAACCTTATTAATTTATTTGTGTTCCGTATCAATAAAGTGATTGGTGGTCGATTCATTCATTTTTTTTTGTAGAGTCAGAAAATTGCTTTTATTCTGATTTTTTGATTGAATTTTTTTTTGACAACTTTCTGAACAAAATTAGGAGAATCATGTGGTTTTTTTACTCTGAACCCTCGTGACATTAGAAAAAAATACAGCTGCGCATATTTTTTTTTTGTTGTGCGTTTTAAAATTGTGTATGCTGCAGCCGAAAGACACTTTGCATGCTGAACCAAGAATGTTTCGAGAAAGAACTTTAACTTAACTATCTAACTATCTAACTAACTGCACTTTTTACTATAACAAATTTCTATCCTATTTATATAAAATATTTGATCTACTTCTATTACTATTTAAAGATAAAGTTAAATTATAGAAATTAAAGAAATATTATAAACTTCATTAACTTTATTAACTATATTAACTAATTTAGTTAAGTAAATAAAAAAAATAAAAAAACCAATTAAACTTAAATAATTATATAAACTTAGTTAATAACATTATTATTATTTTTGAAATTTCAGTTATTTTGATTGTTAGACTATGACTTAAGAAATTATGGCATTTTGATCTATGGAGTTATAATAGTAGTCATTCTTTTTGAAATATTTCTGCTTTTATTAGTTCAACAATCTTGAATTTATATTGTTGAAAGCTCTCAATAAGACAGTTCTAATAATTATATTTTTTTTAGGTTGAAATATACTGTAAATTAATTTTAGCATTAATTCATTTTTTATTTTTCAGCAGTTTTTCTTTTCTATTGTAAAGATCCTATATAATAAATTTTTATTTTGAAAATATTATATTATTATATTATAAAATACAGTCAAACCTTAATATAACGAACCTTTGATATAGCAAATTTTAAATCAATTATATTAAATATACCTTCTATAGTAAACCAGTCTTTAAAAAAAATCATTATAAGCTTATAACAACAGATTCTAAGATTCATTATATCATGAATTCACTATATATAAATTATTTTGTAAATTTATTTGTTAAATGTAATTTATTTTAGAAATTCTAAAATAAATTAAAAAATCAATTTACAACTAAATAGTTATTTATTAACTTGTCAAAAATATTTTTATTATCCTAAATTAGTTTTAACAATTTTGGATTTTATTTTACCAAGTTTTATCAATATCATAATAGGTTTTATCATATAACTTAACTTTTTCAAAATATTAGTTTTACTAAATTTAGTATTTTATATAATATCATTATAGCTATTTATAGTTAATCATTATTATATAACATATATATATATATTTATATAAGATAGTTTAATATATCTGAAATTTAGAATTGATTATATGTTAAAATATAGAAAGTATGTATTTATAGAAATATTATATATAATATTTTTTAAAGTAAATATTAGAAAATATGAAATCTTAATAATAGAAAAGAAGAAAATAATTAGGAAAAATCAATTTTATTTTTATATGTCAAATATAATTTTTAAGCTAAAAATAATTCAAATTTAATATTAATTTATTTTTAGTGGGACGCATTAATAGGACGCATTAATATATTAATATATTAATGCGTCCTATTAATGCGTCCCACTTGTATAAGATTAATATGTCTTATGACATTATAATATGTAAATTAATATGTTTTAGGGTATTATAATATGTAAATTAATATGTCTTAGGGTATTATAATATGTAAATTAATATGTCTTAGGATGTTATAATATGTAAATTAATATGTCTTAGGACGTTAAATATGTAAATTAATATGTCCTAAAGATGGGGGTCTGCTTCTCTCTCTATGACCTGTTGGTTAGTAATTATGGATGAACTGCGCGCCTATTTGGTTGCCCTTTAAAATATTGAAATGGTGTAAAAAAAGAGGCGACAGGTGGCATAGTGAATTTGCGATTAATTTTTGACAGCTCTATGCTATAACTCTGGCCGATCTTTTGGGCATATGATTTAAGGATCCAATTTAGCGTCATGATAGTGACTTGATAGTATCCTGGAACTACTGTAGAGCTGTCATGGAACTGACGGGGAGCTAGAGTGGTTCTATTAGTTCGCCAGTTATATACTAGCTTGGTGTCAAAATATTACGTCTAAAATTCTGATAAAAAAATACAGAATAGTGCTGGCCAGAATTTATCAGATTATCATAATTTATTGCAATTTGAGTATCTCAGTAGCTATCAGTTATACCATGTATCTTACTCATGATTTTAGATCAGTTTAGTTTATATTGCCATTCTCTATTGCCACCACTTACTCGTACTTGTTTACGATCAATATCTATTTGTGAGAATTTTTTACCAAGATAATTATTACTTAATACTTGCTCATTATTTTTCTTACACTATGTAAGATAATCCTGATATAAAGTAGCGCAACATATTTGTTTGCAAAGAATGTCTTCAGGCCATATCAAAATATAATCTATTATGAATTGATTAGCATTAGAATAAGACACTTCACTAGAGCTTATTATCTCATTCTGTTTTTCAATCTCCTGACAGCTAGTTACATTTTTAAGTCTAGTGTTTTCATTTTTGAGTTCATTAACTTGTTCTTTTAATGAATCTATTTCTAATTGCATATTTAAAACCTTACGAGTCAATATAAGCTCAAATTGCATATCAGAGATCTAGCATTTTAATAGATAGTTTTCAGATTCAATTGTAGTTTTGAAACATTTCAGAATAATTATTTTTTACGTATTTTCAATATTAGGTATTATCAAAATAAGGCATGATCTTTTTGCTATATTATTAGAAGATATATATGTCGATTTTTTTGCTGTCACAAAGAGATTTTATTTTTTTTCTCTGTGACACTCTCTGTGACACCCTTATATGCTTTTTTCAGAGTTTGGAGACGCTTGATTATCTTCCTTTATATCTGTCACTTTGTCACTAAGAGAACTAAGAGAAAGTAAAGTTCTAGAAAAAAAAAAAAAAATTCTATGCTATCCTATGATATATGCATGATACATATATGCAAAAAAATTTTTCTATACTATCCTATGATATATGCATGATACATATATGTAAAAAAAATAAAAAAAAGTTAAGAAGTTCGATTTTTCTTCGTGACTCTTGGTGCCACTGTGACACTCATCTAGAAACCTTTCAATGGCTCTAAAAATACGACTTAGCTATATAAGTGTGTCACAGAGAGCGTCACAGAGAGCGTCACTAAGAATTTTTTTCTTTGTCTGATCTTAGAAATCAGGAAAATTGTATCCTAAGAATATAATCAGGCTGAAAGACGCTTCTATCTATACTTAATCACCTACCAATCCTTGTGTTGAAGCTAAGTCTATCATCCTTTTCCAATGGTATTGTTCCTTTTTACGGTGCTTTTTAGCATGATCATCGTAATACCTTATCCGGAATAAGATAATTTTCCACATTCTTTGCAAAATACCTGAGAAGGAGAATTGCGATGAATATAACATCCTTC